TCTCCGTAAACTCAAAACAAAGCCCTGAGCTCCACCTAAGCCTAAAACAAGTCTGAAGCCCTGAAACCCCCCAAATCCGAAATTCCCAAACCATGGAACGCATATGCTAACCCTTACAGAGACCATTCAAGCCTTTGTAGAAACCCTGAAAACGACTGCCAAGATCCCGGCATCGCCGCAAGCAGTAGCGATGACCTTTCAAAGGCTCTGGGCTGCTCATGTAGGGTTTGGGCAGGGTTTAAGGCTTTGGGGGTTAACCTGGGTTGAGGAGCTACCTATTCATGGACTTTTAGTTTAGGGCCGTGTGATTTTGGAGCAGTGAGCTCCAATATGTCAATCTCCCAAACCTGAACAGGTTTGGCCAAGCAACCGCAGTCCTTCATTACAACAGAAGCGGAACAGGGGAGGCTCAAAGACAAAGAAAGGGTCACAATCACCACAAGCCGTATAGAGCCTAAACCCCACTCCACCCTAAAGCTGTCTTCTCCAGTTTGGGGCTTCACTTTTCAACGTCTCGAAGCCGAAACTCTTGGTCCGAGATCCCTCCGAGCCACTCTCCCTGCGAGCAACGCCACGTACATGCACCCATACCACATAGGCGATAATTGCGCAGATACACATGCAAATGCGACACCCTGAGAAGCCATCAGCCGTCAAAAGCGAACGCACTGGCAAAGACGAGGCTGAGGGCGTTGCCCTAAAGTCTTTCAGATGATCCACTTCCCTCGGAACCTGAACAGTCGGCAGGACGGGACCGGGTGGGTCATGGTAGGCTGGTAGGAGTGTCACAAGCTACACAACGAGTGCAGCAGCCGTAAGTTGCGACAGGGAAGACGAAACAGTGAGGCCGACGGGAGGGTTTTCAATAGCCCAAACAAGATGAAGCAAACATGTATACAAGGGACTTGCAAACAACCGCAGATGTTGCAAACTAAATAGCCGCAGGAGTCACAATACTAGGACCACTACAACCCGAAGGGGTAGTGGCAGTGGCAGCGGTCGTAATAGTGGTAGTCGTCGTAATGCTGGATGTGGCAGCTACAGTTGCAGTGGTAGTAGGGGTGCGATGGTCATTGTCTTCGTGATCGTGGTGGTGCAGCAGCAGCAGTAGTAGCAGCAGCAGTATGGTAGTAGTAGCCATAACAATCAGTAGCAGCAGCAGCCACAGGGGGAGGAGCAGCAGTAGTAGCAGTAGTAACACTAGCCGCAGTGGCAGCTTTAGTACAAATTAGTAGTGGTAGTGGTAGTGGCAGTGGTAGTGGTAGCGATAGCGGTAGCGGTAGCGGTAGCGGTAGTCGTAGTGGTAGTGGTAGTGGTAGTGGTAGAGTGGCAGTAGTAGTAGTAGTAGTAGTAGTAGTAGCAGCAGCAGCAGCAGCAGCGGCAGGAGTCGCAGTAGTGGTGGTAGTAGTAGTAGTAGTAATAGTAGTAGTAGTAGTAGTGGTAGTAGTAGTAGTAGTAGTAGTAGTAGTAGTAGTAATAGTAGAAGTAGCAG